TAGTCCCTTTATTAATCAGGGGTCGCCACAGCGGCATGAACCACCAACTTATCCAGCAAGTTTTTACGCAGCGGATGCTCTTCCAGCCGCAACCCATCTCTGGGAAACATCCACACACACATTCACATAGACACTCACTCTTCATAAATTCATTGATTAATTTCAGTCAGCAGTTTATGCTTATTTACAGCCAACAACCAAACGGAGACAGCTCGGCTAAATCAGTGAAACTCTAATAGACATCCAATAATAGCCCAAACCTGGACTGGTGGTCGGACAGAGAGGAGGCAGAGCTGATATGAGGTCAGTCGTTTCTGTTTATCTGAGCACTCGTCTAGTTTTGGCCTATTCTTTGACGTCTATTAGAGATTCACTGACAGCCCAAATTTCGCCGTGTTCTAGCCAGGATGGCTGTGCTCAGACGATTATAATAAGTTAGTAATAAATTAGTAATATAATAATACTAATAAGAAGCAAAGAAGAGCCTAAACTGAAGGAGAATGAGTGAATAAACTTGCTTTATTATGATTAAATACCAGGAGAAGAGTCCTGACAGGCCCTGAGGAGGAGACACACACCTGTACATCACACAGAGACTCTTCACTGCATTCTCACACCTGCACACTCTGTCTGTGTGTGTGTGTTTGTGTAAATAGAGTGTGTGTGTGTGTGTGTGTTTATTTGACAGCTCTGCCGCTCAGTGTGAGTTTGCTGTGGGCCCCGGTGCCGCTGGCTGTGTGTGTGTGTGCGGGGCGCAGGACGGGCTCCAGCGGAGGCAGGATGTGTCCGTCTTTACGGGAGAGAGCCTGAATCTCCACATTCAGAGCCGCGATGTCCTGAGACTGACCCGAGATCAGCTGCTGCAGCCTCTGGAGCTCCTGCTCATCCACCAGACCACCTGCATACTGACACACCTGACACACACACACACATGCAAACACACATTCATACACACATATACAAGTGCACAAACACACAAGCACACACACACACATACAGACACACAAGTGCACAAATACACACACATACACAAATACATTCACACAGAGACACACACAGAGAGACACGTGTGAGTGCACACACACACATACACACACACACACACACCCAAATAAATGCACACATAAATAAATACACACACAGTAAATCCAACTCTTATTAATACTGGAGGTGTGTGAGAGAGTGTGTGTGTGTGTGTGTGTGTGTGTGTGTGTGTGTGTGTGTGTGTGTGCGTGTGTGTGTGTGTGTGTGTGTGTGTGTGTGTGTGTGTGTGTGTGTGTGTGTGTGTGAGTGTGAGTGTGTGTGTGTACCGTTCTCCTCTGTCTGCAGTCGAGCTCTTCATCCAGTGTCTTCTTCTGTGTCATCAGTCGGTTGATCTTCTGCAGTCGCTCAGTGTTCAGCTTCATCACTGCAGTCACACACGCTTTCGCCTTTACAACCTCAGCCTGAACACACACACACACACACACACACACACACATTAATGAACAACACTGCAAACACAACCACACCACTCACAGCAGCTCTCATGATGAGTGTGTTCCTCTACACACACCACGGTCTGCTGCAGCAGTGAGGAGAGCTCCTCTAGAACACTGAACCGAGTCCTTCCTGAGTGAATCTGTTCCTGAACGAGTCATCTGATTCACTGATTCAGTCATCAGCACACTCACTGGCTTCATGTGTTCATCAATCAGCTATTTAGAAAAAATGAGTGTGTGTGTGTGTGTGTGTGTGTGTGTGTGTGTGTAGATCTATGTGTTTGTGTATATGTGTTTGTATGTGTGTTAGTTTCTGTATATATGTGTGTGTTTGTATGTGTATTTGTGTAAATATGTGTGTTTGTGTGTGTGTTTGTCTATATATATATATATATAAATGTGTGTGTGTATTGGTGTATGTGTTTGTGTGTAGTGTTTGTGTATATATGTGTGTGTGTGTGTGTGTGTCTGTATATATGTGTTTGTGTGTTTGTTTATATGTGTGTGTGTGTGTGTGTGTCTGTGTATATATGTGTTTGTGTGTTTGTGTATGTGTGTGTGTGTGTGTTTGTTTGTGTATGTACGTGTTTGCATATTTGTGTGTGTGTGTTTGTGTGTGTGTTTGTGTGTGTGTGTGTGTGTGTGATGTACCTGCCAGTGTTTGAGCTCTTGAGTGTATCTGGCGTCCCGCTCTCTGACTTCCTGTCTCATCTCCTCCACCTTCCTGTTTCCTGCTAGTGTTTGCAGGACCTCCAGCTCCACCAGCTTCCCGAACTTCAGGAGCATCAGCTGCTCACAGCGCACCTCTGACTCTGCACAGCACACACACACACACACACACACTCAGCACTATAGCAGCGAGTGAGTGTGTGTGTGTGTGTGTGTGTGCGTGTGAGAATACCCCTGATGCGCGTCTCCATGTCAGTGAGCTGGGGTGTGAGCTGCCGGTGCTGCTGCCATCCGTGACAGAACAGGAGCCTCGGCGGAAAAATCTCCTGCTGCATCTCTCTGATGCGCATGTGCAGCCGCTGCAGTTCCACTGCACTCAACACCAGAGCTGACTGCAGATCAGCCGGCTGCAGACCCTCACTGCCACACTCCAGCTGCACACACACATACACACACACACACACACTCCTCAGCCAGCGCTCACTCTGATGTCTCATTATGTTGCCTGTGTGTGTGTGTGTGTGTGACGCACCTGATGCAGGCGCAG